AAAAAAAAAAAAAACAGCATTATTGCTTTTATGTGTTGCTTTCTATAGACTACTTTGGATGTAGGAAGCACTCCTAAAATGTAAAGAGGTGGATCTTGGTGAAAATGGCTTGTTGAACCTGCAGCAGGCAGCCCAGCCTTCCCCTCAAGCTGCCTCCTATGTTGCTCCATTCTCAAATTTAAGTCCAATTTAGCATTAAACTAACCAGTGTTCTGGCAAGTACGTTCATCTGACGAAGCTTGCCAAAACAAAGACAGTGTCTACTCTAACCAAGGAGCGCCAAACTGGGTGACAGCAGCCCCCTGACAGGCAGGAGAACCAAGTGAAACTGACCCCTGCGTGGGATGGGTCTGGCACTGAAAGGTGCACTCACATAGCTCTGGGGGCACTGCTGCCCCAGTGGATTTTGTTTTGGGTTTCTCCATTCCCATATTTCCCAATCTGTGAATGTTTTGTTCTTTCTTGTGGTATTCTTGGTAAAAAACAAGGGAAACAAACTGGTTGACTACCACAGAATGCAGTAACTCTTCCTGAATGGGAAAGGTACATCTTTCTACAAAGGCAAACATGGATGCTACATCCAACAATTGTGTTAAGACTAATCAGAGAGAAGTGCAATGTTGATGTCACTTCCTTTTTCAGAGCATATATTTGACAAATGTGAAGGTTGCAAAATACACATAGAACTGCAATGCCCCATCCCTCAGTGAGCATGTTCTACACAACAGATCTCTTCAGGAAAAGCCTGGGTAAATAAACATTTCCTGGAAGGCAACCAAGACAAACCAATGGTATTTGCAAAGGTCATCATTCCAGGCTAGCCCTCCCCCATGGAGATGTCTCAGATGCACAAATTCTGAATTTGCCTGTGGTACAGGGAGTTGCTGGGGTGCATCAGCTATGAGGATACTATCCAGGTTGCTCCACTACACTATCCACTGCTATCCACCCGTATCTCCATCCTGGCACACAGGCCCTGGCTTATGTCTCATGGCAGCTGTATCACAGGGGCTGTGTGACCTAGCCTGGGTCTTGCACTGATGTGAAGCTCAGCCAAGGCCACAAGGGGAACTGAGAAATGCTCTAAGTAGTATAGTGGTTGAAGCTACCCTGTCTAAATTTAGGCATCCTACATAATCACTTGTAAAGCACAAGTATCATCCCCAAACCGCATAAGAAGTAATTTCATAGGTTAAACCCCTGAAACTCACACCGTGCCTGGAAGTGACCTAAGGAGGAAGTAATTTTTGAGCACTCTCTCAGAGTATTGATGGCTCATTTTTGCTCCAGCTCTGCAGTCTGAAGCACCTCACTGAAGCACCTGTTTCATTTTTCATCAGCCCATTTATCATAGAATCATTTCCTCAGCATGTTCCCTATTTTGTCCTTTACATATTGTCATCGATAACAACAACGTGCACAAGCAAATCGTGCTGCCTCTGATTGTTTCCCTCTCACGGAAAAGGTGGCATAAACAGCACCTTGGGTATATCTGTAGATAAAAGACAGAAACAACAACAGAGCTCTCATTGCTGTGCATAAACCCTTGAAGATCTTCCTGCTCCTCAGGGTGACCACAGCCTGTTTCCTGGTCAGTGATTTCCAGCTACTAGTCCACCCTTATGAACTGGGGCCAACAGATACAACCAATTTCTCATCTGTGGCAGAAGAAACAGCTTCCATTGTCTCCAGCTTTTAGGCAAATGCCAAGTTTCCATTCTGGGACCTCATCCAACTACTTCTAGCACCAGTATGATTAGAGAGATGTCCAGTGTGCTCGCTGCTGAGAGACAGCTCCCTTCTGCCTTACCCAAACTTCTGCAGGAAAAGTCAGGCACTACTAACCTTCATTTCTTTTTCTTTCTTTTCTTTTATAGCTTGATGCTTTCTGCATTTGACAGCTCAGTGAAAAATATCTCAAGATGATGTATTTAATTTAGAACATCTTGCATTTTTCACTGGATAGAAAAAAACAGTATTCGTAGCATATTATTCTTATCTCTTGCTTGCCAGGTCCTCCAATTTCCTCCTTGAGGTATTCCCCAGCCAAATAATTAATAATTTTGCAGGCCAATTGTCAAGCCAAAACTAGAAGCCACATTTTTGTGGGTGAAATCTTGGGCATAAAACAGTACCCTTGAACAGCTGGTCCTTCTGGTGAGTCCTACATCTCTGTAGGGTGTTTCGTGGGAGAAGAAATTACATTGCAAGATACCTTTGGGACAGTGACAACATAGCACTGGGTAACGAGTTCAGTGTCAAAACTTCATGTCAGTGAAAAAAATAGAGTCTAACTATGAACTTCCTCTTCCAAAAGAGAAGAAATAAGACATTTCACTCTATGGGATGTAGGATTGTAAATGCTCTGCCTAGGCAGAGGACTGAATTCTGTGTGAAAATAAAGGAAAGATACAAATATATAAGGAGAGGCTTCCAAAATAAAGGAAAATTGTTAGCATATGAGGATGATTTAAGGCAAGATAGAGGGTCAACACAAAGACTTCTCAGTTCTGACTGAGTTCTGGTAAGGACATGGCTGGAATCTGGGCCAAAAGCATCAGAAAGAGACTGCTGGAGAAATTCAACATTAGCAATTAGAAACTGGCCTGCAAAGGAGGTTTCGAGTCCAGACAGGAGCTCATGGGGGTAGCTAAAAGGCTAACCTGATTGAAAATGTAGTAGCTTGCCACTTAGGCTACTCAGCATCTACACTCTAGCACTCTTCCAGTGCATATTAGAATCATAGAAAGATAATTTCTTGTCAGCAAGTAAAACACTTAAGCCCCCAAAGGGATGCTATGTCACACGGGTAAAGGTGCTGCCTGACCTTGGAGCCCCTCACAGCCCCCTGTGCACCTGTACACAAAGTGAGCCAGGAGCTACCTCTGGCCCCAAAGCCTTCTCCTGCAGTATGGCTTTAGTCCCTGTAAACAGAAAACAGGGAAGCTGCAGCCAAACTGTCGGTGGGGAGAGGTGCCCAGAACATGAGAATATCCACCAGTAGGGCCAGCCCCATGATAGAGTCTATGCTAGTTATTAAATAGTGCAGGTGATCACATGCCTTGCTTAAGGCACTGTGCCCATGCCTCACCATATGTTCTGTATCCATCCACAGACACTCAAACCCACAAAATCTCTTCTTTAGAATGGTGTTGCTGCCTTGCTTTGTTTTCTGCTTGCCTTACTTTCTGAGGAACAGAACCTTTTCTGCTTAAATCATGCCAGTCTTGTACCAGCACAGCTGAATTAATGAACCAATATTGTGTTGTGGATGCAGTTTTCTGTGAGGGACAAAAATACCCTATTATATTTGTTTTCTACCATCCCATGCTTCTAAGCCTCTGAATGAGTTATTGTGCCTTTACTGTAACCTAGAGACATTGTGTGGCTTTTTGAATAAAACATCAAAAGTGTTCAGCACTGGAGATATTACAAAGATATTTCATTTGATTAATTAAAAAGAATTCTCTAAGGAAATATTTGATTTCTTGCACCATCCCCAAACATTATACACTCACATGACCTCTAGCCTTTCATTCCCTACAGAGTACTTGCACAAAATCCTGAGGGTAGAGTATATTATAAGAGCCATGGAAAGAATGCAATTCTGCCTTTCAGCCCCCACATCCTCAGTTACTACCATGTAATTTATGTATTGCAAAAATGACAAGTTTTCCTTTCAGTAGCATAAACAGCTTGACCTTGGATAAGGTTCACTTGATGTGCAGAAGTCCTTAGTTGGGTTGCTTCTACATCTAAGCTTAAATTTGCTGGCTTAAAGTGAAGCTTCATGTTGTCAAGGTTTGAATGAAATTTATTAGCAATATATCAATCTGTGCTAGACAAGAGATTTATTTTCTTGTTATTGCCTTCCATAGAGCAGATAGAGCTCCCATTTATTACCATTGTCACTGTAATTAACTACGAAGATCTGGCATTCTGATCTAAGCTCTGAGTTATTTTTGTGAAAAAAAGTACAGGCCATTGGTTTTGAGGCATTATTTTACTATATTCCAACAAAAGTCCTGGCCAAATGAGTCCACAATGTAGTCTCTTTCTTTACAATACCTCTTGAGGAACTTGCTGTGCACCATTTCTACCATTTCTCACTGGACTCAGTGGTCATGGGTAAATGATTATTAAGCTTAGCTCTGTGAGGAACAGCAGCAGACCATCACACAAAAGTATGATTTGCATGAGTTTTGGATACCCTCATCTGCAGTGAAGACTATACAAATGAGGTAAGAACTAATTTTGAGAGGATGCTCATAAAACTTCCCAACCATATGTGACCTACTCGCACCATATCTGAAACATTTGAGGAATAGTTTTATTTTTATGAAATTTTACCAAGGAAATCCTTCATAGCTTTTTAAAATACAGGACTATCC